ATAATTATGCTCTGATAACACAAGATTTTGGCTGTAGAGGTTTCTTCAAATAATCTTGTATGAATCAATATTTTTGATTTTTCACTTCACCTTACTACTTTTGGCTACTTATAGTAGCTTCTAAATAAAACCTACAACTTTCGACAAATTTTCGATTCCAATTTGTCTCTCTCGTACCTTCGAAAAAACTATTTCAAATCTCACTTCCCAGTCTTTCTTAAAAGTTTTCTAACCATATATAAGATTATATGCAGATCCCCTTATATAAAATCCATTCGAATTTTCAAATTATTGCCTCAATTATTCGTAAACTTCAGAAAGATACGTATGAACATCCAACCTTCAACTTACGAGAATTTTTCATAAGAAGAAATTATCTATAGTAAAAGTTATATCCACTTTGTACCTACGTTTACCTTTTTACCCCTCACTTTGTACAAACTTGAACTATATATAAATCCAAGCAATAAGATATAAAGAGAAAATCTGAGTTGTAAACTTTTTGATGGTCAAAATAGATGGTTCAAAAATCTTGCAATACTTTCAAATCAATCAAAGTTTATTTCCTATGTCATAATTTACTCTTCAAAATTCAAAACGCTAGGTCTGACTGATTGCAGGTTAACGCAAAACATCCTCCCAAAGAGAACGGAACTTTTACTCCTATTGTTATAAAAGTCGAGTTCATGGCTGTACAGTAGAATAGTGCCAGTGCAATCAAACTGTAAAGACACAAGTTTCAGACGGAATTTTCATGAGTACTGTACTATACAATAGCGTAGTTTTGTACTAACATAGTATCGAACTGTCGTTTCAGAGGCAGCAAGGAATCTCCGCCTCTGGCTCCAAATCAGGGCAAAATTTCACCATCCTGTCCACTGGGATGCCATCGAGTCGGTAAGGGATTTTGAAACGTGGCCTCCACTCCGGAATTTTCGTCCAAATCAATCTTCAGTGAACAATTCCGAATATGAATTTTGAGCTTGCGACGAAAACACACACAATCACGTCAAGTCCAGTTGATTTAGTCCCGAAGGTGTCCAGGGCTGTAGATTCATGTCCGACTGCAGCTCTAGCTAGTTTTTCTGATTCATCGGTCGCGCGCAACTCTAGCCAGTTGTATCTGGAGTATTGTCTTTCTCAGGAGGTGGGTTGTCACCCGAATCACCCGGCGGAGGATCACCAGGGCCTGCAGTGAGCAGTTTTCGGTTATCTTGGGTTAAACTCGATGAGAGAGTGAATGCAGTCGGCTGCACTGTCCTCGTATCTTCCTGCAAGTGCAACATCTGCAGAATACGTGATGGTTAATTCTCTCTGCTGTGGGTACCTCAAAAGCAAACTGACACCGTGATGGACAGTACATGAAGAACCGATCGTTCTCTTCAGCTCGGGTGTTCATCTAAAGACATGCATCAGCAACTTCGGACAGTCGGGTCTTCCCTTCCCCTCGATGCCGACAAACGCCCAACCCCCGTTGACTGCTGCATATGTGGTGCTGAGCGCTTGAAGTCTCTCTCTAAACGTTTCCCTGGTTTCAACGCATCAAGCTCATAGGAATGCTCTTAATTGTATCACCATACCGGTCGGATTTAGTCTACTGCAGGGAGTAGACTAATCACTGCATTCACTGGGTGGTAGATTCCATCTCGAATCGAGTTTCATTTACTACACCTCCAAGTCTACTGAAATGCACAATGCCAGCCTTTCCGAGGGATATAATGGACCTTGTTTCATTCAGATCAGAATAAGTCGATCGTGCGCGAGACCCGAGACGAAGGATCGATCTCCAAATAAACTTGGTCTTGCGTGATCCAAATACCCTCTTATCCTCAAAAGGGAACTGAGAGTTCATGCAGGGCAAGTGAGTCACTTGGAGCTCGTCATAAATCTGCTCTTTCTCTAGCTTTTTCTCGACTTATCTTTTTGCATCTACTTGATCAGCGGTGACACTGATGAAACTCGGATACGCGAGAAGTTAAAAGATCGCACGAAAGATCTCACAGCATGAAAACATGTCAAATTCAGCTTCGTTTGCTGTCATATGAGCATGAACAACGAAATTCATCCTCAGTCTCCTTCTCGGGCTTATACGCCGCCCTTTAGACTGGGTCTGCTGCCACTCGCTTTTCTGTACATGATCTCACATTGCACTAAATACCGTGAACGCTCTAACATTTAAAGATTGCAAGGACAATGAACAGTTGACAAAAAGCTGATGACTTCAAGCTGCCATTATGACAGAGGTTGAACATCAGGTGTGACAGTCACCTTTCTGGAGCTTCCGTCGAATTCCCAGACTTCAATATTCACATTTTCGAAATGCGCGCCTCTTAATAGGGACCATACCTGCCTGGTTGCTCCTGATAATTCATCCATTCCATATTAGGAGCCACATGTAGTCAGTGGCTACGACGACTGCATTTTTTTACTAAGTACAGAACTCATAGAAGGACTTGCAATTGAGTGCTGATTGACAATTCTTCGGGAGATGAGCATCGTATCGATGCTTTCTAATTTATAATTGTCGTAAGGTAGAGAGACTGGGCAGAAACCTGATACTGGAGGCATCAGCTGAGCTGTATCAGACATTGCAGAAATGTCTTCGGCCATTACTGAGCACGCAAGAGTGATCAAGAAGAGGAAAGTGAGCCCCGTTGCCATGTTAATAAGATTATTAAGTCCGATGCTCCTCTTCTCCATCTGCTTATTGCCGGAGAAATCCACTGAAAAAACGCTGAAGTTTCAAAGAAACTAATATGCAGGAGTAGTTCAGCACCGTTCCACGAAATGTAGAACCACTGTTACACTAAAAAAGCTTGGAATTGGAATGGATATGTACGATGGGTGCGATCGTTGCCATATTTGTATGTATAAAGAAGACAATAGCTTTCTGCGTGTGACGACTACCTACGAGCTTTCCATTACACAGAAAGTCAACACATGCAAAATCTAGAGTTGACACGTTCTCAAAGATTTCTTCGTACTGTGCTTAATTTGCTCGTGGGAAGAACCTTGCTCGTCACTGGCGTGAACAGCGTCAAGGCTAAGATTCCTATATCAAACACGCTCTAGGTGAGAGAACGAAAGTCTCTAAAATGCTTTGTCTTCGATTAAGGCTAATCTAGTAGATCTTTACGGGGTCTAGGATTCGACGACCAGATCATCGACGTTCATTCATCGATGAAGTATCTGCGCATGACAGCTTCATCCGATGGGTCACATTGACTCAGTCCAAGTGAGCGAAACAACAATTTTTGGAGGAAATTCAATTCGGGCCTCCACCTGGAGCTTATATGACCATCTGACAGTTTTTGCTTTCCTGAATAGAGATGCATAAACAATATCCTCGTCCATCTAGAAAACATCATCAGAGTAGACGGTTGGTCAGACACTTGATCATCCATCACCTCATCTCGAACGTGTTTTGACCAGAATGGGACGGAAGGAATAGCTTGAAGTCAATGTAAAGTTGGAGATTCTAATCCGAAGAGACATTTCCCCATTAAACCCGAATTCGTCAACAACGAGTGGACTTCAGACACACTTCAGGTAAGGTGCTTGTAGGACTGTTTGGTAAGTAAAGGTTGTTCAGTTCCAGAGAGCAAGTCACATGGCCGGACTAGCACGAGCAGTTGACTCAGGAACGTCATCCATGTCGTATGTACTCTCCTAGTTATCATTGGGCCTGAACTTCTCACTTCTCTTTCAAGGCCTTCACCAAAAGTTTTGACGTGTCAGTATCATTCCTTCATGACTCTCCTGGCAGTGACTTTAGTCGTTTGTTTGTTGGGTTTTGAAGTACTTTCATTTCTCCTGCACAAGCTGGTTTCTGTGGCGTTTATTTTATAGTTTCTTTTACTCCAACTTTAAATTCTAGCATCCGGCTATTCCAATGATCTATGTCTCCCCCTCGTTCCTTGAGCTCAAAAGCAAGTTGACAATGGTCTGTTGTCGAAATTCTGTCTGTTGTGTGCCCCAAACAAGTTTCACAATGTATCTGTATCTGCTTCGTACAAGAGGATCTATTGTTAAATAATACCTGCAAATGCATATACAGTATATGTCATTTATTGCTGATGTATTTGTCATTTATAAAATATTTCATAACACAAAATAACCGAGACAAAGTGGAATAAAGTAATTATAGAAATATTAGACTAATAGGTACAAAATGTTGATGCTACAATGATGTAGTATTAACGATTGAAACGATGATACAATAATTGATATGAAGATGTACGAATGATGATACAAAAATTAATTAAATTTTACAAATTGATGATACAACAAGTTACAAATTATTATAAAAGTGCTGATACAAAGTATATGATTCACAATAGAAATAATCACATATTTTGTAGAGTAGTATTTCTTCTCATGCATATTGATAAGATGCATTGAAGATTGTATGAGTTTTTCACTATCATGGATGGCTGAAATCCAATGCTAAAATGAATGATTAAGGAATGAATTTTTTTCAATCTACATTAGATATAATAATGATAATTACATTTTTTGAGACGTCAGGTGTTGAATTATAATAAGCATCTAAATTGTCTTATATAGATTCGGAACCTTGAATTTACATATAAGATAAATATGAAAGATTTATAAAATTTTCTAATCATTTATAAGTTTCTTTACCCATCAAGATGATATTTTTGTACATGTATGTATGATGTACGCCGTAGTTCCCCTCCCCCAGTTCCTTAACGGGCGGCCGAGACTTCCATTCCGCACCTGCTGTGCGGCAGATTCCACTGACTTTAAATACAATCCATCGGCCCAATTCTCCCTCACGATCCTATTTATCTCTTCCTTTCCTTCCCGCTACCTGCATCGATTCTTTCAGTTACTTTCTGCAGCAGTTGGATGAGATGAGTAGCCGGTGCCGCACTGCTGATGCATGTACTCCCGATGACCGATTAAATCAGTTTGGTTGTATGTATGTTTAGTCACTTCAATTCGCTAAGAAGCAAGATGTTCCACACGATGCCTCCAAAACTCTGCTGTAAGTCCTTATTCCAATACATCGGCCACGAAGCTTTGGTCTGTTTGATTGCAGCTTTACTCAAAACATCTTCCAAAGAGGAGGACACTTTTACTCCGATTGTAATAAAAGTCGAGTTCAGGGCTGTACAGTAGAAAAGGGCCAGTACAAGCAATCTGTAATGAGACAAGTTTCGAAGGCACTTTCATGACAACTATACAATAGCGCATTTTTGTGGTGACATAGTATCGAGACTATCGTTGAAGAAGCAGCAGGTATCTCCCCTCGGCTCTAAATCAAGGCAAGGAAGAAGAGTTTTACGAAGACTTGAAAATTTCCCCATCCTGTCCATTTGGAGTCCTATTGAGTCGGTACGGAGTTTTGAAAGGTGGCCTCCATTCCGATTCTTCCGTGCAGATAAATCTTCACTGTAAAATTCTGAATACGATTTTTAGGTTGGTGATGAAAACATACACAATCACGTCAAGCCCAGTTGCTGAAGATGCGTGTCCGAGTGCAATTCTAGCCTGTTGGACCTGGAGGCGAGCGTTTCTTAGGAGGCGGGTTCGCGTCCGGGTCACCGTCGCTATTCTCGCGTACGAGCAGTTTTCGGGGTCCTTGGGTTACACTCGATGAGGAAGTGAATGCAATCGGCGGCGCTATCCTCATATCTTCCCGCAAGTGCAACATCTGCAGCATACGTCATTGTTAATTTTTTTGCACTCGGTACCTCAAAAGCACGCTGACACCGTGACGGACAGTACTTCAAGACCCGATCGTTTTCTATAGCTCTGGTGTCCATCTAAAGACATGCATCAGCAACATGCATACCATCGGTTCTTTCCTCTCCCTCGATGCAAACAAACCCCCAACCCGAGTTCACAGCTGCAAATGTGGTGCTGAGCTTTTGAAGTCTTTCCCTATATCTTTCACTGGTTTGGGCTTGGGCTTTACACGAATGAAATTTTCTGCATCACAGTACCCTTCCGTTGAAATCTACTGCAAGCAGTAAACGCTGGATCATTCACTGGGTAGTAGACTCCATCTCGACTCGAGTTTCATTTACTACTTCTCCGAGTCTACTGAAATGCACAATGCCAGCCTGTCCGAGGGATATGATGGACCTTGATTCATTCAGATCACAATAAGTCCATCGTGCACGAGACCCGAGACGAAGGATCGGTCTCCAAAGAAACTTGGTCTGGCGGCGGACGTACGCCAGGTGCACCAGATGGTACCCTCTGACATTCAAAAGGGAAGTGAGAGTTCATGCAGGGCAAGCTCCAACATGACTTCGTCAGTTGGAGCTTGTCATAAATCTGCTCTTTCTCTAGCGTTTTCTCGACGAAGTCATGCATTTCTTTTTGCATCGACTTGATCAGTGTGACACTGATGGAAATCGGATACGCGAGAAGTCAAAAGATCACGCTAAAGAGCAATCATCCATCTCTCACAGCATTAAGACACGTCAGTTTTTGCTTCGTTTGCTGTCATATGAGCATGGACGACGCAATTCATCCTCAGTCTCCTTATTGGGCTTATACGCCGCCTTTTAGACTGGTTCTGCTGCCATCCGCTTGCATGTACATGATCTCACATTGCACTGAACACCATGAACACTCTGACATTCAAAGATTGCAAGGACAATGAACAGTTGAGAAAAAGCTGATGACTTCAAAGCTGCCCTATGACGGAAGTTGAACATCAGGTGTGACAGTCACCTTTCTGGAGCTTTCGTCGAATTCCCAGACTTCAATATTCACATTTTCGAAATGTGCGCCTCTTAATAGGGACCATACCTGCCTGGTTGCTCCTGATAATTCATCAATTCCATATTAGGATCCAAATGTAGTCCGTGGCTACTACGACTGCAATTTTGTACGAAGTACAGAACTCATAGAAGGACTGGCAACCCAGTGGTGATTAACAATTCTTCGGGAGATTAGCATCTTCATCGATGTCTTCTAATTAATAATTGTCGGGAGGTAGATAGACTGGGCAGAAACCTGATACTGAAGGCATCAGCTGAACTGTATCAGACATTGCAGAAATGGCTTCGACCATTACTGAGCACGCAAGAGTGATCAAGAAGAGGAAAGTGAGCTCCGTTGCCATGTTTAATAAAAATTCCAAGTCCGATGCTACTCTTGTCAATCTGCTTGTTGCCGGAGAAATCCACTGAATAAATGCTGAAGTTTCAAGGAGAATAATGTGCAGGAGGAGATCAGCACCTTTTCACAAAATGTAGAACCACTGTTAGACTGATAGAAGCTTGGAATCGGACTGATACGTAAAGATGGGTGCGAACGTTGCCACTTTTGCATATATACAGAAGACAATCGCTTTGCGCGTGTGGCGACTACCTACGAGCTTTCCATTACACATAAACTCAAAACATCTCTCCAAAATGCAAAATCTAGAGTTGACTCGTTCTCACAGATTTCTTCGTGGGAAGATCCTTGCTCGTCAATGGCGTCAATAGCGTCAAGGCTAAGATTCCGAAATGAAACACGCTCTGGATGAGAGAACGAGAGTTTTCATAATGCCCTTTGTCGTCGATGAAGGCTAATCTAGTAGATCTTGACAGGGTCTTGGATTCGGCGACCAGATCTACCACTTTCACTTATAGTACGCGTCAAGAATTCTTCTGTGCCTGCCTCTGCCTCGCTGCTATTCCTGTAGTCACATTCCTTTGTACCCATCGATGAAGCTGCTGCACATGACAGCTTCATCCGATGGGTCAGTTTGACTCAGTCCAAGCGAGCGGAACGACAATTTTGGGAGGAACTTCAATTCGGGCCCCCACCTGGAGCTTATCTGACTATCTGACAGCTTTTACTTTCCTGGAATAGAGATGCATCAACAATATCCTCGACATTCGTCGTCCATGTAGAAAACATCATTGGAGTAGACAGTTGGTCAGACACTTGATCATCCATCACCCGATCTCAACCATGTTTCGAATGGAATGGGACGGAAGGAATAGCTTGAAGTCGATGTAAAGTTGGAGGTTCTACTCCGAAGAGACCATTCCCCATTAATCCCGAGTATGTCAACGCTGGGATTCTCCAACGAGTGGACTTCATATACACTTCAGGTCAATTTCTTGCAGGACTGTTTGGTAAGGGAAAGCAGTTCACTTCCAGATATCAAGTCACAATGCCATACTAGCAGTGGCAGTTGACTCAGTAACGTCGTCCATGTCGTCTGTACTCCCCAATTTATCATTCGGTCTGAATTTTGCTCCTCTGTTTCAACCTCTTCACCAAATGTTTTGACTTGTCGGGAACATTCCTTCATGATTCTCCTGGCAGTGACTTCAGTACTTTGGGTCTTCTAGGAGTTTCAAATCTGCTGCACAGACAAGTCTCTGTGGTTTTCATTTGATCACTCCTTTTACAGCGAATCCAAATACTGGCAGCAGTCTATTTCACCGATCTATGTCTCCCCCTCTTTCCTAGAGCTCAAAAGCCAGTTGACAATGGCCTGTTGTCGACATTGTGTCTGCTGTGTACCCAAACATATTTGTTTCACAATAATTTCGTGTCTGCATTGTACAATGGGATCTCTTGTTTTAAAGGATACAGTTTCGATTAGTGCTCATGAGGGTTACATTTTTTGATGTTGATACACTCTAGAGTATAGAGGAAGTTAGATAATGCAGTCACCTGGATTCTTACAAGTACTATATGGGTTTGGCTCTATTATAATAAGATATTTTATGTCACGGTGATGAGCGTCATGTACTAGTGTATATTTTGAGATTATAATATATTGTGTTGAAATCCCTGAAAGGAGTTAAGAAAGAGGACTGTGAGCTATCAAATTAAGAAAGTATTGTTGGCAATCTTAGATCGATGCTAGATGTTAGATGATAGTTGCCAAATTTTCAAAGTGTAGATAACGTGAGAGTGGTGCTGAAGAAAAAAGAAAGAATCTATTTAAATCTTTTCTGATCGATTGACATTTTCTAAATCAATTTGAAACCCAAATTTTCAAAGCTTAAACATGGCTGGATTTTGGCAAAAAGAGTTGAGTTGACACTGTGTGTCTCGTGATGAAACATTTCTCCAAGTGGATTGAGTTACAGGTAGAGTGAAGTCATAGCGCTTGCATTTTAAACATTAGTGCTAAGTAAATTCGATGCACCAGCAGTGAAATTAATTGATGAAGAAATTCAGTTTTTGGATGAATGTTAAACTTTTTGTGATTGAGAATTGGTTGCTATTCTTATCACTTTAAAGGTTGATGGTATAAAAGAGTTAGGAATGAAGACGGTGAAGAGAAGACTCAAAACTTTTGGCTTGAAGACTGAGATATCCCATTACCATGATTGTTCATGGATGTTTTATTTTTTTGTCAAACATCTCTGACATACTTTTCATCCTACTTCTTGTATGATAGAGATCAAAATTTATATGCGGCTTAGACTTTGATAATCGTTATGTTTGAATTAAAGAGAGTTTTAAGGATAACAAAAGTATTCGATACAGAAAAACCTCTGTCAAAACTTGATTTGGCATCTGAAACCTTTAATATTGCTCAGGAGAGAGATTCCTTGCATTATTCTAGCATTTCAGGAGCGGATTTCCAAACTTTCCAAAAATTTCATGTTAGTGATTACTTGTATTTGCAGCAAAGTGCACTAACCACATTGGATGTTCTTGCTAATCGCATAAATCTACGAGTACATGAAATTATATTGTACGAAACTTGGATATTGAAGAGAAAATTACTTGATGCACCCTGTGGAACGCAAATCACTTGCTAGACGTAACGGGATTCATTTTAAGATGGTACTCCTCGAGGAGGTCCCATCGGTCACATCACCCATGTTCCAATACGAGTTTGTAACTCGATAATTGATAGTTTCAGTGTGGGTTGATTAGAGTTGGAGGCACAACCTCAAAGGGTCATGCCTGATTTGCATTTTCCATACGAGGCATGCCTGTATGTATAAAAAATCTATACATATACTACAGAGTTACATACATATATTTTAGAGAAATAGACGGTGGGATAAGTGAGGAAATAAAACTGTTTTCACTAGGAGATTCTCCTTTAGTCTTTTTTGCGTTTTAAGCTTTCAAAGATCCTACTTAGTACTTTATTTTCATAGAAGTATATTTTTTGATATGGTAATTTGTATGTATTGTAATACAGGCATGTCTGGGGGCATGGGGCATGCCTTTTGATCTTGAAAGTGGGCATGGGCATGCCCCGAGAAATTTTGTTGTGCCTCCGATCCTAGCGGTGATGTACTACCCTCATTCAACAATCAAAACCCACATGCACGCCTTGACATGGATAGACTAAAGCTGATGTGGCGATTTTTACCTCCCCCTAGCTCTGAATCATCGTTCTAATCATTGGAGTAGCTCGCTGCAGCTAATGAAATTGTGAGCTCATCGCTTTACACTCAAATTTCGTTTTGGAAGTTGTTTAAACTAAAAAATCGCGATTGTGGATGGATCATTGGTGAATTTTGAAATTTTTTACTCTCACTCACGAGAGTTCGAGTGCTTTTCATGGGTCAGAGTGTGTTGCAAGACTTCGGGTTACCATCCAGTAAAATGAAACGTGTTGGGACCATACAAGTGTTTTGTATTCCAAAGGTTTTCCATGTAATAATTTTCTGGTTATTGAAAGGTTGAGATGGTGTGATTCAAAAGTAACATGTGCTTGATTGTTTATCATGTCAACTTTCAATATATATATATATAATCTTGTATCATATAAACAAGGTTGGAAGAAAACGGGGCATATGTTGCATGGATCAGCTGATGAAGCGGCCGTATGTTGATTTGTGAATCGACTTTTGCATTTGTTATGTTTGACACTACCTCTGAAATTACTGCTGAGATTCCTTATTCCAATGCATCGTCCACGAAGCTATGGTCTGTGGGTTAGGTCTGACAGATTGCAGCTTTACGCAAAACATCCTCCCAAAAGAGGAGGGCACTTTTACTCCGATTGTAATAAAAATCGAGTTCATGGCTGTACAGTAGAAATGTGCCAGTACAATCAAACTGAGAAGACACAACTTTCGAAGGAATTTTCATGAGTACTATACAATAGCGTAGTTTTGTGTTAACATAGTATCGAACTGTCGTTAAGAGGCAGCAAGGAATCTCCGCCCCTGGCTTCTAATCAGGGCGCTTTTGTAGATAATTCACTAAGGCGCTAAATTTTCACCGTCCTGACCAATTGGGATGCCATCGAGTACGTACGGGATTTCCAAAGATGGCCTCCACTACAGAACTTCCCTCCAAATCGATCTTCACTGAACAATGCCGAATACGAATTTTGAGCTTGTGACGAAAATACACACAATCACGTCAAGTCCAGTTGATTTAGTTCCGAAGGTGTCCCGGGCTGTAGATGCGTGTCCGCCTGCAACTCTAGCTAGTCATTTTGATTCATCGGTCGCGTGCATGTCTAGCCAGTTGGACCTGGAGGCGAGCCTCTGTTAGGAGGTCGGTTCACGCCTGGCTCACCCGGCATTTGTGCGAGCAGTTTTCGGTTTCCTTGTGTTACACTCGATGAGAGAGTGAATGCAGTCGGCAGGGCTGTCCTCATATTTTCCTGCAAGTGCAACATCTGTAGATTACGTGATGGTTAATTTCTCTGCCCTGGGTACCTCGAAAGCATTCTGACATGAAGATCTATCTGATCGTTCTCCATAGCTCGGGTGTTCACCTAAAGACATGCATCAGCGACTTCAGACAGTCGGTTCTTTCCTTTCCCTTCCCTCGATGACGACAAATTCCCAACCCCTGTTGACAGCTGCAACTTTGTTGCTGCTCGTTTGAAGTCTCTCTCTATAGATTTCCCTGGTTTCAATCAGAATGTATCAGGCTCATCGGAATGCTCTTAATTGCGTCACCATACCGTTCGGATTTAGTCCACTGCAAGCAGTAGACACTGCATTCGCTGGGTAGTAAATTCCATCTCGATTCGAGTTTCATTTACTACAACTCCAAGTCTACTGAAATGCACAATGCCAGCATTTGCGAGGGATGTAATGGACCTTGTTTCAATCAGACCACAATACGTAGATCGTGCACGAGACCCGAGACGAAGGATCGGTCTCCAATTAAACTTGGTATGGCGGCGGCGGACCTACGCAAGGTGCACCAGATGGTAGCCTCATATCCTCGAAACGGAAGTGAGAGTTCATGCAGGGCGAGGGATTCAGTTGAAGCTCGTCGTAAATTTTCTATTTTTCCTCTAGCTTTTTCTTGACGGAGTCCTGCATTTCTTTTTGCATGGACTTGATGAGCGGTGACATTGATATAAATCGGACACGCGAGAAGTCAAAAGGTCACGCTAAAGAGCAATCATCAACTTCTCACAGCATAACACATGTAAATTTCAGCTTCATTCGCTGGCAGATGAGCATGGAGGAAGAAATTCAAACTCTGTCTCCTTATTGGGCTTCTACGCCGCCCTTAAGACTGGCTCTGCTGCCATTTGCTTGTGTGTACATAATCTGACATCACACTAAATACCGTGAACGCTCTAACATTCAAAGAATGCGAGAACAGTGAAAAGTTGAGAAAAAGCTGATGGCTTCAAAGCTGATCTCTGACAGAGGTTGAACATCAGGTGTGACAGTCACCTTTTTGGAGCTTTCGTCGAATTCCCAGACTTCAAAATTCACATTTTCGAAATGGGCGCCTCTGATTAGATCCCATACCCGCCTGGTTGCTCCTGATGAATCATCAATTCCAAATAAGGATCCACATATAGTCAGTGGCTACGAAGACTGCAATCTTGGACGAGGTACAGAACTTATAGGACTGGCAATAGACCGGTGATTGACATTTCTTCGGGAATTGAACATTGTATCGTATTGATGCCTTCTATTTTATAATTGTTGGGAGGTAGAGAGACTGGGCAGAAACCTGATATTGAAGGCTTAAGCTGAGCTGTATCGGACGTTGCAGAAATTTCTTCGACCATTAGTGAGGTCGCAAGAATGATCAAGAAGAGAAAAGTGAGCCCCCTGGCCATGTCTAATAAGAACGCCAAGTCCAGTGCTGCTCTTGTCAATCTGCTCGTTGTCGGAGAAATCCACTGAATAAACGCTAAAGTTTCATGGAAAATTATATGCAGGAGGAGATCAGCACGTTTGGCGAAATGTAGAACCTCTGTTTCGACTGAAACAACTGGAAATCGGAATGGATACGAAAGATTGGTGCGAACGTTGCCATATTTGTATATGAACTGAAGACAATGGCTTTATGCGTGTGGTGACCACCTACGAGCTTTCCATTACACATACAGACAAAACATCTTTCCAAAGTGCAAATTTTAAAGTTGACTCCTTCTCACAGATTTCTTCGTGCTCATGCTAATTTAGCTTTTTGGAAGATCCTTGCTCGTCAAAGCGTCAACAGCGTCACGGCTAAGATTCCAAAATGAAACACGGTCTAGATGAGAGAACGAGAGTCTCTTAGATGCTCTTTGTCATCGATTGAGGCTAATCTAATAGATCTTGACGGGGTCTTGTATTTGGCGAACAGATCTTTCTTCCATACTACGCGTCAAGAGTTCTTTCGTGCCTGCCTCTGTCTCGCTGCTATTCCTGTAGTCACAGGCCTTCGTACCCATCGACGAAGCTGCTGCGTTTGAGAGCTTTGTCCGATCGGTCACTTTGACTCAGTCCAAGCAATTGGAACAACAATTTCCGGAGTGGCTTCCATTCGGGCCCCCACCTGGCGCTCATCTAACTATTTGACAACTATTACTGTCCTGGAGTGGAGATACATAATCGATATCCTCCACTTTCCTCCTCCATTTAGAATACTTCACTGGAGTAGGAGATTCGGAAGATTCAGACGGTTGATCATTCATTACCTGATCTCGAACATGTTTTGGACGATATGAGAAGATGGAATAGCTTGAAGTCGATGTAAAGCTGAAAGTTCTACTCTGAAAAGACATTTCCCATTAAACCCGAGTATGTCAACGCTGGTAATTTCCAACGAGTGGACTTCTGGTAGACACATCAAGTCAACCTCTTGGAGGAATGTTTGGTTAGGGAAGGTAGGTCGTTCGAGTGATAAAGTCACATTGCCTCATTCGGATGTGTGAGTTGACTCATTAACCTGAGTCATGCAAGTAAATGGTTCTCGTGTCATACATCACAATGCACAAGTGTATTACAATAATATTTTCTGATGTCAAAAAGTCGACCAGTCAATAGAGCTCATGGTACAAAGCATATTACAATTTTGCGCAATCCATTTTCTAACTAAAAGATTTCTAGTTATGCACTATGGGGAAGACTAGGGCCACATCCGTTTTTACTACGGTCACACCCGTCCGTGTAAGTTGACTCGATCAAAGCCGCCGAAGGGGGTCGAAGCGGCAAGGCAGTCGAAATAGATAAATAGAATAACGGCAGCGGTACAAGCGGCAGCAACGCGGAAACAGCGACGGCCGCAGCGGCCCCGCGCCCCTCGAAGCCTCTCGACTACGTTCTCCAATGCCTCGCGGATGAGCTCGGGTTAGCAGCTGGGTTTGAGTGGAGTCGTGCTTTGACGTGCAATCAGTTGTTTGTATGTAGCGGGTGTGGCCCTAGTAAAAACAGGTGTGGCCCTAGTTGTACCCATGCACTATCACTCTCCATTATAGGCTCATTATTCTTTTACATTTAGTATCCCTCATGATTTCTAAATCACACTCTACCATTCTTAGTACTAGATCTAGGTATATAGCTTTTGTCTAATTTAGCCAAATGTACCGCATGTATTTGAGGCTAAAAATAAATATCTATCTAACAAATATCTATTAAGTAGTGATAGCTTTTTTACACATGACTACTGTATCACAACATAAATGGATGTCACATTTTACATCACAAGAAACATATGTTCTACAACTATGCAAATGTAACACATTTTCCCTCCGAATTGAACATAAGCTCTCTCTAATATAATTTATTCATTTAGTACACAAGATTATCTCTTTCTAATATAAATGATGTATGATAATGTATAACATGATATACTTTTTTTGACTAAGATCAAAGTCCAACTACTGTACTGCCCCATCATTAGTATACTATCTACAATTCATATCATGAAGCACTCAAATTACCATCATCTAACTGCATTGTATACGCCTCCACCACTAGTCATTGAAAGAAGTTGTCAAACATCATATATGACGTATTGGCATCTTCATTAGCTAATCGTCGCATAATACACTTCAAACCTTTGGGGTCTTTTCCCTTGTTTGTGGTTGTCGCTTGTATTGTGTTTTTCAACCTTTTGACCCTTTGGGTACCCTAGGCTTAATCTATTACCATTTACCATTTACTTGCATCACTACCAAGCTTGGATCTATGACATCATCTATGTTTTCAATATGACATGTCGACAATTCCGTACAAGATTCCTCCAAATCACACCATAACAAACCTCTAATACCAAGATTTCATTCATTACATCTCACATTTTGGTACCAATTGTGCGATCAATAATGATATCCAATGTAATCGGTGCGCTGCTACAAGTAACCCAGCAATATGAAAAGAAAATTGACTAGTTACTATGTAACCTTTTATATGATGATCAGTAATACACTCTAAGATTGATTGTAGTGAACATAAACCATAATGTAATTATACTAAGTTTATGTAAAAAAAATTCAGTGGTATAAATAAAGGTGAAAATTAGATTTTCAATCAAGTTTGGAAAAAAAATAAAAGATGATTTTGTTCATCAATATACAAGCTTGTTTTCTAAAATAACTTTGAATGTTCTTGAGATATTGTATTGAAATGTTTATGCAATTTAAAGATTGTGTGAGATAATATTCTCAGAGGTCATGTAGAGAAAACATCAACATTCCATTTTCATGATGAGCTATTATAAAACCACATAGTATAAACTTGAGTGAAAGCGTCTCCGCATGTCATTGTAAAAGAATCCTCTAACATCATGAGGTGGTCATAAAATCTCAAAGTATCATAAAAAAATCTGATGAATTTTAATTGATTCTGACTCAAATTTTAACTCTAGTAATTTCTTTGAAACTAGAAAAAAAGATTTTACTTCTAACATCTTACATCAAATATAATCTTACATAATCTTTTCACTCAAAACTTTGTTAGATTTTCATTTGCAGAGTAATGTAACCCCAAAATGTATATTCTTCATCTATGAGACAAATCTTCATAACATACATCTATTCAAAATGAATTAAGATATGCTTTTTTGTCTCTTTATTTATAATACTATTAAAATTATCACTCTAATTATTACTATGATTAAAAGTATATTATTTAATTTCTTTAAGTGGAATCTTAATAATTATTACTAATATTTACAAAGATTTCTGCATAGAATATAACATTAGTTATCTAGAACTTGTTGATGCTTTTTTGACTTTATATATTGGTGAAAACATAAAATTGAAAATATTAAATCCTTTAAGAATTGAATTTGCTAAACTTACTTGATCCAATCAATCCACAATTCAAAATTAACATGTAATCAAAGATTTTCATAAATTAAAATCAATCTTTTATTCCTTTCAATAGAAGCAATGATGAAATTTGATTTTGAATTCTAAATGTTAACATTTATATTTCTTCAAATAAAGTTTAAAAAACAAAAATGAGTCATCACTAATTATTAAGCTACAAAATTTTACTTTCTTTAAAAAAATTAAAAAATTTGAAACTATAATGATTACAATCATACAATTTTTTATTTTTAGAATTCAATTAATTTTCAATCATTATTTGAAAAAAAGTTCACGTAAAATTTTAAAATAAGTGTTATCAAAGTTTTATATCAAATTTACACCATAATGTTTTTGAACAAATATGACGTTTAACTTCAATTTTATCAATGTGACATATAAATAAAATTTATTTTATATAAAATTTATCGTGATTTATGAATTTAGGTATTTGCAACACTAAAAAAGCATGTTTTTGAAAAAATTTGTTAAATTTTTCAATCATCAAAACTAATAATTGAACAAAAATAAATAGCACAATTAAGTTAGCAAATAAACATGTTTGAAATGTAAAATTGAAATCTATGTAATTAAATCAATAAATCACTTTATTCATAATTTCATTTAGCTAATATTTTTTTATCTAGTGAATCAATCAATTTTCATTTCTTAGATGTAACTTTTGATTTTGCTTTATCAACTTTGTTAAAGTTTTGACAGCTAAAATTTATCTCACATTGACAATAAAAGTTTAAAAGTTCACAAAATTCTTGCACATTATTGACATGAAAAAATATGAAAAGCTTTATATTAATTATATTTTGCTAAAATCTATAAATTTTGGGATAATATTTGGTATTATCTAAGTTAAAATTTACACTCTTTGATGTACAATTCAAGATCATGAACACCCAATCATTCAAATCAAAATCTCTATATGTAGTTGGTTGCTTCAGTACTACATAACATGATCAATTTTTATTGTTTACCATTTTGATTTTAGTGAAAGTAGTTTGAATGATTTTGTACCAATGATTATTGGAAAATTTGTTTATATATTAACAACAGCGTCAAAAAATTCATTACAAGTTTGAATACATACATATTTTTTTAAATGATACAAATATCAAACAAACATGTAAAACTCATACACAATTCATTTCATCACTTTTTGAAACTTAGAATATGAATTCTTCAATCAAAATGGTATAAGATTCTAATAATACAGTAATACTTGTCATGCAAGTCAAGTGTTCAAAAGATTTTTCCGGCCTTATATTCAGTTTAAATCCAAAATAATGATGTTTACCTTGTATATCTAAAATATAAATAACTTTTTCATGTCTAAGTGTATCAAAGATCTCCTAAAGTGTAGACAATAGATAAATAAATAAATATTATAGTTATTGGTTATTTGATTTACAAATTTAATAATCATTATACATGCATCTATCTATATAATTGTAGTTTATTTGTTTTCTGACTAACATCATCACAATCTAAGCATATTCTTCATATGATATTTGTATGAATTCAAGTTTAATCTTGACACCTACTTTGAATCAAAATTTTCTGCATATTGTTGTACTGATGGGTGTCAAAAAAATTTTGTGCATCAATTTTCAGTCCAATTCCTACATATAATTTATTCAAACATTCAAAGCTCTTCATATAAAAGATTACAAATTCATTGGAACTCTTCAATCTATTCGTACTTATTCTACTTCACTTGAAGACAAATTTCAATATCACAAATCTCTTCTTCATAGATACTAGAGATTGAACACAAAATATCTAGTTTCTAAATGATAATCTTTTGAGAAAATGCTCTTAGTTCTCTTAACTTTTTATGCTTTCTGATGGAAAGCTTATGGCTTTTCAGCTCTATGTCATGAATACCTGCCAATGTAACCATTTGAGTACATCACAATGATGTAGAGTGATAATTAGAGCTTCTCCGATGATGCTTGATTAAAGACACTTTTGTTTATTAAGCTTACTATTACCCTGTTACTCAGCTGTTTTCCCCTGGACTATTGGCTCCTCTTTTTCCCACCATTCACAATCGAGGCCACCTGGATTAGATAACAAATGAGATCCAAGAGGACCTTACGTTTTTCCACCATTTAGTGAAGGCTGTCTCTAGCTTCTTTCTTATATTTCTCAATTCTCTTCGGCCATCAATAACATCGCTAGACTAACGAATTTGTTATGAGGTGCAACTAGCCCACCACAGCCAGTGGCACTATAGCATCGACAGCTACAGCCAGAAGAGCGTCGGCTGGCTACAACGCCCTCCCGCTTCCTCAGGAGTCCCGCTACGATCCCGCTACATTTAGAGACACTAGTAGCTGTGGTGTTTGCCTCCATTCCCACCCGGTCGAAGTGAATCCCCTCCAGAACCTAGTCCATCGAAGAACAACGCAGTTATCTGATCACATTCTGGAGTTTCTTCTCCTCCTTTTGTTGTTTCTTTTCGACCGAAATTCGTAATTTTAGCAGAGATCGGCGATAAATATGTTGCGAGGATGAATTCAAATAACTGAGTTATTACTAAGAATTTAAAATCTATGAAAGTGAGCAAACGTGTGCCGATATATAAATGGAATAAGTTATACTTTGATATATTATTTACTTGGTTTTCATACCTTTATATGAAATACTATACTTCATTCATATCTATATTTTTGAAAAAATATATACGATATGATTATGAACTCGAAATTGGCGTGTCTCTACAATGCCCGAGAGAATTGCAGCATAAAAGGAATGAATTCTTGCAGACTGCGCGTGCTGTCTAGCGTTGTGACGCGCATACGGAGCCGGATGGACGAGGTAGACGGCGCTGTTTGGCGACTCCAGGCGGAGCTTTAAAAGTAGCGACTCTTGCTGTCGTGGAGATCCTTCCTTGCGAAGGGCGAAAGCCTCCAGCACGGCGGCCAGCGGGAGCGGGAGCGGAAGAATGGCCTGCAAGCAAGGTCCGGGCAGCATGCCGCGGACGGAGCGTCGTGCGTTCCCTCGCTTTTGACGGGGCGTTTGAAAATTGCTCGAATTGACGCTCACAGAGGAAGGGCAGGGGAGAGGAGATGGAGGCCTGGGGGTCGAGGAATTGATGTGCGCTGATTGGAGGCCATTGCTTTTCTCATGTGCGGTTGTTTCGTTTCCACTTTGGACGAGTTTAGCAGTGGTCGGAGCAGAGGTGGAGGCGGAGGTATGGCCGACAGGCAGGAGCAGAAGCTCAAAGACGCCGAGAAATGGCTCAAAAAGGCCGATAAGTTGTACGTCCTCAGATCTCGCCCTCGTCCTTGTCTTCTTGCATGCACTTTCGATCTGTTGATGAGCGATTAGGCTTCGTCTCGTGGATTCTGTCCTACTCGTGAAATTGAGAATATGGAAGCCGATGGAATCGTCTTTGAGGAAAGCTCTTCCTTTTGGGAAGAAAATGAAGAACTTTTTTCGCAGTTGTGTTCGCTGCTGGCTTTGGAGATGCTTGCTTGCGCCCCTACATGAGAAAATTACGGCCAGACCTTCCCGATCGGCTGTGCCCCATTGGTCTCCATTGGTATCTCGATTTTACAGTGAGCTGCCTGTTCCTTTTGGCTAATTTATTTTATGACTGTCAATTGGACAGTCTTGACACCTGAACACGTGCACGACCATAGATCTATCGGTACCTCAGAGATGTCAGTTGTCCGTAACTCACTTGTGTTGAGAAACATTTGAAAGTTGTTAAGTCCACTGTGCAAACTGCTGAATGAATCAAATCGCTCTCGTTCTTCTGTCAATATGTATAAATGCATTTTCATAATTCTTTTTCCGCGTCTATCAAATCTTACATCTTTTTCGTACCGAGATCGCGTCAAATAGGAAGAAGTTTTGCGACTGGAAGGAAGGCCAGCCTATCGCAGGCAGGGAATTTGTAGAATGAGCTTCACCGTGGAATGGCGTTAAATCTGGTCAATGTCCAAATTCGTAATTGTCAGGTTTCTTCGTGGACTTCGCCCTGTCTGCTCCACTCTTAACCCTAAGTGTATTGTTCGTGGTGTTTCCGAATGGACGAAGGCTTTAATTGCTGGGCATTTTAAACTGTAGAAGTTTGAACAATATTAGCACCTATTTCCTTGGCTGTTGTCAGTATAGTGACTTTGAGTCCTGCGTGTATTTTAGCATGACAGAATGAAGTTGGGCTCGAACATTCTGAAAGATTGGTTGAACGACCATCGTAAGTTTTAACATATTCTGTAAGCCCTGTCTTTCGGCCTAAAGCCTCCTTATGGATCACATCCACATTTTGGTACCAGATTAAGGGGATTTGACAGCCAAATTGCATGAAAATATGATGCAAAGAAGTTGACTGGATCCTCTTCACAAAGCCGTAGCCGCTAGAAATGTCTGCGCTCCTTAAGCAAAAGAAGGCTGATTAGTGTTGTGAAAGTTTTGGGTGGACTTTAAAATACGATTTCAGATTCTTTAGTTATTCGTACCCGTTGAAATATATATCAATATAGCATGAAATGCGCGGTGAGCCAAAAGAAGGAATCTCAGTAACTCAAACTTGTTACACAGGAGATATGTGAATTGACGGTGTTCATTCGTATACATCTATCTTCTTGAAAAAAATGTTAAATATAAAGAAATGCCGTTTCCTTTTGGATGGACTAAGATAGACTCTAATTGTTCCCTATCTTTACAGGACGAAATTATCGTTTACTCGATGGGCAGCAGATTGGTCGGAGGCAACGCCTTTATATGAGCAAGCAGGTCTGGTTGAAGTGCTCTCTTTATCTCCAATGTCTTTCGAAACGGACATTAGTGAACTGTGCCTTTGAATTTGGCTGGAAGTCTGGTGTAGTTCATAGAAAGTCCACCCCGATATTATTGTCAATGTTCCTGAGACTTTAGTTGTAGTTCTTTTTTTCCTAGGTTACCCCCCGAGCTGTCAGCTCTGGTATCCGATCACTTGTTACTTTCTCGGGCCGTAAAAGATTTAATACCTCAATTGGTTTGAGATAAGGGACACGTGTTTTTTCCTGTTCTATGTCGTAACCTACATCTTACATGAGATCTTGTTATCCTCATTTACTGTGCAGGTTTGGTTTATAAAACCGCGAAGTTGTTTGAGAAGGGGAAGCACTGTTTTGAAAAAGCTGCGATCGGGCAAGAACGTCTAAGCTCGTATCCATATTCATTATACACATTACTTGCTCGTTGAGGGCATGAGAGAATCTGAAGTTTATTTTTCTTTATCTTGTTTGTAGAGAAGCAGTATGTATAGTGTGTAACCATCCCTCGATTGCCGTCAATTCATTTGTGTCTGACGCTCACAAAGTTGTAATATTGTCTCACTACAGCTGATTTTTGTCCAGAAACTCCGGCGTCAAGCGAACGTTTAAAGCTTAGCTTGTACAGATTTCATACTTTTTGTTCATTGTTCATTGACGATCTTAACCACAAACGATGTCGATAAGTCAATGGACAGCTGCCAAGCATTTAGAGACAGCGGGAGGACTGGCAAAAGAGCTAGAGGCTTGGCCGGAGGTTGCTGATTTGTACAAAAGAGCTTCCGAAATGTACATGTTTTGTGGGAAGCCACAACCGGCTGCTGATGCTCTTGTCCGCGGTGCCAAGTAAGCAACATGAACGTGAAACCTGGTAGCCCTTGTACAGCTGTATCGCTTTTAGAGCCTGTTATTCGACGAAATTGAGAAATCAAAAAGTTAGTGGACGTCAGGTTTGTTCTAAAGAAAGATCAGTCTCTGCATCTGTGCACATGGGTTTTAGCGTCTCAACCCGGAACTTAGAGGTCAGCTCTTCGTCTCGTCGGTCTCTGCTATGTTAGAGATTGCAATGTATGAATGAAAATCTGTAAGATTTGACTCCTAACAGTTAATCAGAAAGTCTTTTTTTCTAAGAATGTGACCAAACTCTTGTACCAGCGATGGAACCTAACAAACATTTTGGTGGTTGCGTTTATGTAGAGCAATTGAGGATTCAGTTCCTGATGATGCAATCCGCATGTATCTTGATTCTTGCTCGTTCCTTGAAGATGACGGAAGAGAGCAGATGGCTTTTGATACATATCGTGCTGCCACAAATCTGTACATCAAGCAACAACGGTAAGTTCGAATTTGGTTTTGGACGAGTATAGATCCAGGTCTTTTAAATACGGGCAGTCTCCTACGTAGGAGTTCATGCCGGATAAATATGGTCGTGTTCTTTTGGTTTCCTGTATGCCTTTAATAATGTGACATCATTCTCTTTCCAGGCTCGTTCGTTATTCATTTGCACTTCTTTCAAATGATTGTTGGATGTAAGAAGCTGACATGAGAAGGCATTTGTTGTTTATTTAACAAGAGTACGATGCAAACTCCTTTTTCAATACTGACGAGAAACATAAGAACAAAAGGTGCTGTGGTTTGTCATTTCTATTCACCGAACGTTGTTTATGTGGTGGCTGATGTATTAGTAAGTATTTCAATCTCTTTTGAAGGTATGCCGATGCGGCTAGTATGTTGTTGAGATGGGGTCAGGCTGCTGACAAGTGCAAGGCTATTCAAAGCCAGTGCAAGGTAAATACCAGCAGCGTTAACACTTTGTTAGTGATGCCGAAAAGATTCGCATTTCATTTGACATATTCCTGCGGAAATCAGTAACATGATAGAATAATTCTGTCAGTTCCAGAGGAGCAGATGATAATACGTAATAACTATTATTGCTGTGCCTTTTCAACGTATATTTTTCTCTCAATGAGCTTTCTTTACTTGTCTTTCAGGCATACGTCAGCGCCATTTTGGTTTACCTCTACAATCAAGATTTGAAGGCAGCAGAGCAATGCCACAATGATTGTTCACAGTGAGTGCGTTAGAAACTCATTTACTGCCGACTGGTTTTGGTTCTTGGATCAATTCAACCTGGTATGATTAGTGAGTCTTGACGGCGTTCTACTCTATGTTCTGATGTTAGAAGCGTGGTACATTTCTCCTGTTGCCGGTATTTCTCGCAGAGTTGATGCCTTCTTGAACAGTGAGCAAAATCAGCTTGCTGAGAAAGTTTTGCAGGCGTATCGAGATAGTGATGGTGACGAAGTTATGTACGTTATCAAGTCAAGCAAAACTCTACCGCATCTTGATCATATGGTCAGTAGCCCTTACGTTGAACGCCTCACGGATCAATCGAAATGTCTGGCAATGTTAATATCAAATATGTAAGAGATGGAAAGTTCATTTGATGTTTTTACCGATCCTTTCATTACGTTAGTCTGAAGGAAGAGCTTGTTGGTTGGTGCTTACTTTTCTAAACCATTCACTCGTACAGATAACAATTCTGAATTGATGAGACTTGGTATATGACAGATTGTGAGGCTTGCAAAGCAGCTGCCTGTCGGTGGTTTGAAACCTGTTATAGGCCCTAGCAACGACGATCTGGATGAGAACGATTTGACTTAACATGCCTTCTGTGTTCAGTGACGTTCTTTGCATTGGTGAGTGTACCATGCTAACTTGTATTTTCTAAGTTTTTTATTTCATAATCAGTCCAAAGTGTTTTCTCTCGTTGGATATAAGTCATGTTTCTCAGACGTGGTCGAGAACTTCCTAAATAGAAAACAGTGTTATATTAAGTATAAAAATATAATTACATACAGGAACCTACTTCGCTATTCAAATGTAGTAATGAATGAAGGAAGAAATAAATTGTTGTTTTCTCCCAAAATATGATCTTTACAGATAAAATGAAGCATATTCCAGGAGTTTCATTCTCTAGACAACTTGATCCCGCACTACCCAATAGTCAGTAGAAAGTCGTATTTGTCATTTGTTTAACCCTGTATATGTAACTAAGCTAAATCGGCCAGCGATTTAACTTCATTTGGCAGACCAGTGTTATATCACTTCTTAACACCCCGCAAATTTTGCCTCCATGTATCTTGGATGTGTGTAAGCAGGATAGATATATACATGATATTGCTGGATGTAATTTGTCATCTTCAACCTCGTGGAGAGAGAGCGGTTTTTAGTCCAACATTTCTGGCCAGAATTCAGTGCAATATTTGATCTCTTTCGCTTCTTGAGGCGATTAGTTCGGAAAGGCTGGCAAACGATGATTCGGCGACTAATCTGTCATATTCACATACGCGTGAAGTTTATGGCCATGGACTTTCCTCCAGTGATTAAAATTGGGTAATGTTGAAGTGTTTTCTTGTGAAAGTAACACTCACATGCGGCGACTGTCCTGCTGCTCTTTAAGAATTTTTCAGTTCATTGAGATGGAGATATTCGAGGGGGTCACATCACCTGCACATCCGCCTGAAACTGGCCCCATTCTTGAGCTCGTGCAATCTCTCTCTGGCATAGTTTCAGTGGTGGAACGCCGATATGCTGTCAAGAGGTTTGGATAAATTGAAATCATTAACTTTAGCGAAGATGAGTTTCTTTTGTAGATTTATCCATTTCATTATTGTGGTTTTGTACATTAAGGTTGTGAAGAGGATCCCAGATAAGGTAACGTGAGCGTATTGTTGTACGCCCTGAAATATGTGGTGACAAGATTTTTTTAATGTTATCTGAAGACCAACGTAACTGAATGTCATTTCTGGAGGTGATTTTATTGGCGTGACATGAGGCTGAATTTGTACCAACATTTTGACAGAGGTTACTGTTGTTGTGACTCATAGGAATCCAGTGTCAACTGGTTTTTTGACTAGGAACCACATGAATCATTGCATCTTATACTATATTCTCCACTGTAAGAGTCACATGATGGCACAAATCCAGTTTCGGTCCTGTCTGGTTAATAGGGTTTAGGGTCAATACAGAGGAGAAACCTCATTTTTTTTGGTCGTGTAGTCGAGAAGCAGGGCTTTATGGTGGAATGAAAATCTTGTCTTACTCATTATTTCTTCCACTCTACCAGAGTAACTTATTGTCTTCATGGCTTTCACTTGAGATGCTTTTGGCTTTGTACTTCAGTCCCTACTTGATGGTTTTAAAGTGAAATTTCAATATCATGACATGTGCAAACGTGCTTCTTAGAAAGCTGGGTCTTCATAGGTTTTTATAGTGTTTCTTTAGTGGAGCCTTAAAGCGCTTTACGGTACACGTCGAGTGCATAGCGCTGGATGTGCACTCCACGAGAGCTTTGGGAGTCGTAGGAGGAAGCTGTTCCTTTTCTGAGAGATTTTTTAAGAGTACTTTGTTCTGTGTTCTTCGTTTTCTTAGCAACACAGAGCTTACTATTTTAATGTAAAGATTAGTGTCACTTAAAGACCACTTCACTTTGGCTAAATAAACAATGGGAACCTAATACAGTGGGAAACTAGACTGAGAATTTTGTCTTTTTTATTTGTTCTTTTGTCTGGCGACTCGCCGCCAGAATACGTCTTGCATCTTTTTTGAGTCTGTCGAGGTATCTACTTATCACAAGACTAAGGCTGACTCACTTTAACAAGCTCGGTTTAGTCAGATGCAGATGCGTGTGTCTAAGTGTATTACATGTGATACGACACCTACAATTAAGATTAACTTTTAGAGGAAGTCTTCAACTTTCTCTAAACGCAAAAACTCATGATTACAGTCGTAATCCTAATCAGTGAATACGCCCATTGCATGTAGGTTATCGATTGCTATGATCCATGTCAGTTTAGGACAACTGTCTTGCCATAGGCATGTCATAGTAATTGAGGTATCGTGCATTTGATTTGAAAATCTCCCACTAACAAAAATTTTAGAAATCTGTTCAATACCAAGCACGGATTGGAATGTTTGTAGAGCCCTCAAGTGTTATAAAATGGCGGGGAAATAGGCTCACAAAATTTCATGTCCTAAAAAGTCGAGATTGATCAAATATGGGTGCAACATTTAAGAAATGTATATAATTTTCACACATAAGTGTATGTAAAAGTTTGTAATTATTAGCCTAATCTGCTCTTTGAAACCAGCACGTTTTGATTGTGCTCCTTACAACTGTGCAACCTTGTACAATGCGCGTCAAAGTACAAAGGTCACAGTTACTTAATGTTGATACACCGAAATCATTTCCAACGAAAAGGAACAATATTCGGGTTTTCAGTATAACCACCTATTGTTAGCCCGCCGAACTCTAATGTTACAAGTGATGGTAAATTATATCTAACTATCTTCCATTAAATTTGTGTTAAAGTACAATACTTTCTATGTATATTTGTGATAAATAATAGAAATAATTTAATAAAAATGATTTTTAAACCAAAGCATAAATAAAATAGAATATGGAATAATTAAAAAATTTATTTTTATATTTTATACTTATATAAATATTTTAAAAAATTCTCCAAAAAATTTATTTTGATCAATGTATAAAATTAAATATAATATAAAAATAAATAGAAATTGTAATAAATTTTATTTTTGTGCTTCAAAATAATGTAAATATTTTTAAAAATTACCCCAAAATTAATTTTGATCAATGCATTGGTTTGATGATATTTATCTTCCAATTTGAATGTTTCAAATTTTTTACATCAAAAATTACATTTCTAATAAACTAATAAATGATGTGTTTTACTCTACCATCTATCATTTGATTTGAAATGAGATGTAATACATTTAGGTTTTCATAATAAAGACTAACAAACTCATCATTCAATTTCATTTCAATGATTAAACTCTTCAACCAAATAATTTTCTTTGTTACTTCTACTGTAGTTACATATTCAACTTTCATTGTGCACTAAACTATATACTTCTGCAAAACAAATTTTCAACTAATATATCAATCATCAAATATAAATATATATTTAATCATAATTTTACTCTGATGCATATCTTGTACATAGTTTAGCGAAAGTTTAGCATTATCCAATACAACATCAAACAATAAATCATAATCATTAATAATCTTCAAGTTCTAAAAATCCATTTCAACACCTTTCGATGTATATATACTTGATTCAACACAAATTTACTGTTATTGCCCATATAACAATATCAACTCTTGTGCACATCATCAAATACATGAAATTGTACACGGCTTTGTCATAGGAAATTGATGACATTTTTTTCTCAATATCATGATTTGGATATTGAGTTGCAAAAAATTTGAAGTGTGCTACCAAAAGAATACATACCTCTTTAAAGTCGACCATGTTAAACCTATTAAGCACACACACTTACCTTGACTTAATCATAGTCTCTTCTTGAGCAAACCTTTATGAGAATTCATCTTTAATATATTTTTAGACTTATTCAAATCTTTCAATTTAGATACAAATTTGAGTCGAATCTTGCATATATTTATATCTAATTAATTTTTGCTAAGATGAGCATGTCACTCACATAAAATACTAAAATAATAAAATTAAAGATATCATTATTCAACTTCTTTATGTATACACAAGTTTCATATACATTCTGTAAAAACCCTTGTGTTTTAATAAAGTCATAAAATCTTGCATTTCACTGCTTAGGAATTTGTTTCAATCCATATAATGATCTCAATCATTTACAAATAAATTTTTCTTCTCAAAACCAATGAATTTTTTCATGTGTATTTTTTTTTTACCTGATCCATAGAGAAATACAATAATTACATTCATTCGATTTATAACAAAACTAAATATTACAGGAGGTGTACATACTGACAAATTGTAGCATACTTTGCTACAAGTGAAAATATTCTGTTATAATCTACACCTTTCTCAGTGTGAAACCTCTAGCCATCGGATTTTTCTTGCGTCATCTATTGAATAATCCTTAAATTTGTAAATCCATTTGCAATCAATTAAAGCTTGATTACTTAAAAGCTCCAATAACTCATAGATCTTGTTATCTAGAAACGATTGCATTTTCCGTTTCATAACAACATTTTATTCAAATTTATTAATAGAGTTTTTCTCTATAAGAATATTGTTTTTTTTTCTTTCAAGATCAACGCAACGCAATGCTATCATCATACTCTATATCAATATCACGATTTTCAAAAATGTATAGCTCATAATTCATACATGGCATTAGTTATTTATTTCAATTTGATGATACTTTAGAATACAATTTTTGTTGATCTATATCGTTCGGTGTAAATACTTGAGTCTAATCAACAGTAATATGATCCTATAAAGTCTACTCTTCAAAAATTTGCTCTATATGTTGCACAAGAAGAAGTTCCTATGAACTTCTCATTGTGTCACATTATTAATGACATGATTATTAATCTTTTCCTCAACAACATCATTGAATGGATATTTTTACTTGTTCATACTAACAATTCTAAGAACAATAATGCTTTTTCAATGATTTGGATTCATTAAAAAAGCATACTTAATGACATTAACTTTACAAGTTATTGAATACCATAGCCTGTAATCTCTTACGCCATTATCATATAAAAAAATGACATTTGTTGGATGTAGTATAGATCTTGATTCGTCTAATCTTGAACATGAATGAATAAATCGTAAAACCAAAAATTCTCTAACAAATATAACCAACCATACGTTTGTGATTTAGCTCAAACGATGTTAAGAATTTGATTGCACTAGAAAAAAAGGATTTACCAAATAAATTGCGTTATTAATTTTTTTTTATAACTTTTATAATCAATAAAAAATTTGTTTATTTATTTTTTAAATAGCTTTTCAAAACTTTTTCAAAGCCAATAAGTTCTTTTATGTACATATTTTCTTTCATAGATCATCAAATAATGACATATATCCAAGCATTTAGACGAATGTATACCGAGTTGTCTAAATTATCTAAATTGACGTTTATTGTAACGTCTAAATTAACCTAAGCATATATACTGTAATTGACTCAAAATTGAAGCGTGTGATCTAAGGCAACTATGATGATTGTTAATCAATTTGTTAGCACGTCATTTTTATAGTCGTAATCAAGAGTTTGTAAATTAAATTTTCTCTAACCCACGAACATCATAGCTCGACTTCAAGCCTCGTGTGACGGTGACTCTCCTTGCCTCTACTTCCAAACCACTTATTCTCTATCAAGTGTACAAAAGCGTCTAAATTAGCCTAATTTAGTTAATTTAAGCATCTGACTAATAAATACCATGCCTGCATATATCTAACTCAAAATTAAATGTTGCAATAATTGCACATACAAATCAAAGTCTTAGTGTGATATACATAATCATCAATAAAAAGACACAATCAATTTTTTATGTGAAATCATTAGTTACAAATCTAGTTTTGAAGTATTTTTTCATCGAGTAGGTATTACTTTTAATTTTTTGTCACTTGCTTTCAATATGAAAACTTATACTTGGAAGTTCTTTGTAACTTTCAAATATTCTTATCAATCATCTATTGCATTTTATTCTACAAAGCAAATTTTTTCTTAAATTTATTAATAGAGATGTGAGTTTTTTTTTAATTTAAACAAGGTTGTTATTCTTCCATGATCAACAAAGTGTAATATTTTTTTCAATATCATGATACTACAATTTTTTTAATCAATTCATGTTTCTTATCTTGCATGAATTTTATTAGTTTTATTTGATAATATTATATTATTAATTTTTATATTTTGTACAAAATCTCGAGCCTCATCAGTAGTATATATATATATATATATTCTTTATAATTCAAATATCTTCTTAATATGTATCAAGTTTTTTTTCA